AGGATGCGGTTCAGGATGGAACCGTCAAGCTCCAGGGTGAAGGACCAGGTGTCTCGCATCTCGGCCGCGTGCTTGGACCGTTGTCTTAGGAGAGCATCCAAGTTTGTAAGTGATTCTAGGTCCGTGCTACAGAGGACAATTGACAACGCTGCCGAGGTAAAACTTGCTTTTGTATATGCTCTTATTATTTATTTTCTCAATTTATAGTTCGGTTTAACCATTGGTTATTTTCTTTGACTTTCATAGGTGTTCGTCGCCTCAATCCATTCAGCGTTTATGATCAAAGCCGAGCTGGATGGGAGGGAGGCCTTGGCAGCAAAAGAGAAGGAGAACTCTTATGCTGCCTTAGAGGCTGCCACCACCATGAAGGGCGAGCTACTGAAGGCTCGTTCCGAGGTGGATATCTTGAAGGCCGAGGTGGATGCCAAGGCCGAGCTTATGAAGAAGGAGGGTGAGAAACACAAGGCCCACCTCCGAGCAGCCCATGCTATCACCAAAGGGCTGGAGAAGGAGAAATTCCAGCTCCTAAAAGAGAAGGACAACCTTACTCAAGTCCTTGAGTAGAAGGATGCCTCAATTGGGCGCCTTACGACCGAGCTCAAAGACATGAAGGAACGTCTCACCAATGGTGCTCTGTTGGAGGAAACATTCAGGCAACACTCAGACTTCGATGGGTTTGCTAAAGACTTCAGCGATGTCGGCTTCAAGTTCCTGATGAAGGGCATTGCTGCTGACATGCCCCACCTCCAGCTCGACCTCGGCGATCTGAAGAAGAGATATGCTGAGAAATAGGCCTCTGGGCCTAACAACACTCCAGGCCCCCATTCTTTGGTGGAGAAGTACGTCAAAGAGCTGGACTCTGACTACTCCGATCTTGAGGAAGAAAGCGCCTCTAGTCAAGAACAGGTCGAGGTCGGCACCACCCAGGAGGAGGTCCCTTCGCAGCAGGGTGGATCTCATGATATAAACCTTCTGGGCTCCCAAGGCGAACTTTCTTCTCACCTCGGGAGTAGCTAAGCTTTTGGGTATATTGTTGTTTTTTTATTTCTTTTTGTAAGCTTTTGGGCAGAGCTGCAAGGTATACAAGTCTTGGCTCTGTACTTTAATCAATGAAATCTCTTATTCCTTCATTTTTGTGCATCTAGCTCTGTCTCTTTCTTCAACTATTCTTCCCTTATGATCTTAGTTTCGCAACTCTGAACTACTATATGAATAGTTTTACCTCGCATTTCTAAGGGAAATTGGGATTTTTGACCCATTCCAATAACTACTTTAGACTTTTGACCCCCTTTTGATTTTTACCTATTTATGACCCCTCCACCTCAGATTTCTGACCCCTCCCCTGATTTTGCTTGGTAAAATTACTAAGTTACCCTCAATTTAAAAAAAGAAATCAAACCCAGCCCTCCCCTCCTTTCCCTCCTTGTCTCGGTCCTTCCCCTCCCTCATTCACTATCTCGTTGTCCATTCCAGTCTTCATCCCGGTCTCTCCCTCACAACCAGAAAGTTCATCTCCGTCGTTTCTTCTTCGTCTCCCTCACTTCGTCTCTATAAGAGCTTTCCCCCTTCCCTAATTGAGGTAATTTTTCTTTCGAACTCGCGATCTTATTGTGAATGATTTTCTACCTTTTTTTTCTTCGTTCTTTGC